ATCCTTGTTTACTGTACTTTTCCTGGTCACCTTCCCATAATTTGCCTCCTCCACACTCTTCCTTCTTTGTTTTAGCTGAAGATGGAAAGTAAACCCAAGTTCTAGCCACCTCCTTGAGTTACTCATCCCGGAGCTTCTCCCATGTATATGTGGTGTATTCATGCTAATAAACTTCTGTTTGTTTTTCTCTTGTTAATCTTTCTTTTGTTATAGAGGTCCTAGCTGAGAACTGAGAAGGAAAAAAGGAAAAGATATTTTTTTCATTCTCTACACTGTCCTCAGAGTCTAAATCTCAAGTAGTGATGCAAGGATTTTTTAAAAATTTGAAGTGGATTCATGCCCATTTGGCACTGCTCTGCAGCTCACCCAAGCTTCTTGGGTTCCAGCTATTTCCAAAGACTGATCCTTCTGCTATATTTTTTCATACTGTAATCTCTCCCAGATTCTTCCAATAAAACCCCACCCTATTCCCACTACTACTGCAACAGGAGGGAAGCGGACAGGGCACAACCTCTAAAAGAATGACATAGCCCTTGAGGATATGACATAAACTGGTTAGAGCCAACTAGATCCAAGAGAGTGGAAGATTTGACTTCCAGTGGACCTTGAACCTCATTATACACTCACTGTAATACATTAGCATCTAAATGACACACCTACAGGTGCCATGACAGTTCCAAGGCTAACCATAAAAGGTCAAAAAGTGGGTGGTGGTCCAGTTCCTAGAAATCTCCACCTCTTCCCCAAAATGGTTGGCATAATCCTCCCACTCATTAACCTGTGAAATTTCCCAGCCCATAAAAACTAACCACCCCATATTTGGGGGCCTCTTGCCCTCTTCTGAGATGGCCCACACTCTGTCTGTGGAGTGTGTTTCTCCCAAGGCTGTTCTCGTCTTTTGAGACAGACAACGTTGTGTCTCTGGAATGTGTATCTCTCTAAATAAATCCACTTCTTACCTCTTTTTTTCTCACTGAATTTTTTCTGCCTTGAGTCGTAAAGAACCTGAGCTTCATTAAGTCCTGAGACCAAGTGTGTGATCTCAATTAAAAGACAGTGGGTTCATGGGACTTCCCTCATGGTCCAGTGGGGAAGACTCAGTCTGTGTTCCCAATGCAGGGGGCCTGGGTTCAATCCCTGGTCGAGGACCTAGATCCTCCATGCATGCTGCAACTAAGAGTCCGCATGCCATGACAAAGATCCTACATGCCACAACTAAGACCCAGGGCAGCCAAAATAAATAAATAAATATTTTTTTAAAAAAAGAAAAAAAGGCAGTGGGTTCAAGTCCCAACCTGGGTTGTGCAGTTTCACTACCACTTAAAAATTTCCCTCTCAAATTAGCTCAAATTCATGTTGCTTGCAAACAAAATAAACCTAAAGGATAAACTCTATCTGCAACCTTTGTGATCCTCATCATGCCTTCCAAATTTGGGGATCTGCCATGCATACTAGGTGCCTATCCTACAGGAAATACTCACTTTCTTTAGGCCAGCATGTTGTCAAATCCAAGTCGTTGTGCCTGATACACTGTGATGTCAAACAACCTGAAACATCAAAGTTTGGAGCAGAGAAAGGTTTGTTGCAGGGCCAAGCAAGGAGAGAGGGGTGGCTCATGCTCAAAAGACCTGAAATCTCTGATGGTTTTCAGGGAGGAATTTTTAAAGGCAAAATTTGGGGTGAGGGCTGCAGGGTGTGGGACTTTCTTCTGATTGGTTGGTGGTGAGGCAACAGGGTGGTGCCCCAGAACTTGTGCTCTGCTTGAAGTTACCATCCTCCACCTGGGTGGGAGCCTTAGTTCCTGTAGAAAAATTCAAAGATATGTTGTTATGTCCCTTGTATATCCCTTGAGGAGGAAGTAGGACTCAGGAGGACTTTATCTCAGGAATCAAGCATAAGACCAGTCTTAAGAACTTGGACATTGGGTGAAAATCAATGTCAGTCAAGAAAAATGGTTCTCTACAAAGAATGGGTAACAGAATCACTGTGGAGTTAATCAAATATAGATATGCAAAGACGTCCGTCCCCAAGATTCTGATTCAGTAGGCCTAGGATCTTGGCATTTTAAAACTTTTCATAGGCAATTCTGATGTGAGGCCAGGGTTAGGAGACCCCTACTTAAGGACATGGGTAACTCGGTATTGTTTACCCCTGTAGTGGGTTTGGTGTACAATCAAGTTGTGGAACTGCAGAGAGAAGGAGGACTGTTCTAATACATAGGATGTAGAATAAGATATATGAGCACTAGGCAAACAGACTTTATTTTTTACTCTTTTTTAATTAATTTTTATTGGAGTATTGTTGCTTTACAATGTTGTGAACAGACATCTTAACATTTTTTTCTTTACGTGATGGACTTATTTGTTCAGAGCAATTTTAGATTTACAGAAAAACTGAGTAGAAAGTACAAAGAGTTCCCATATGCCTCTCTTCCCTCCCTCCTCTCCTAACCACACTGTTCACAATTTTCTTATTATTAACATCTTATTTTACTGTGGCACTTTTGTTATATTTGATGAACCAGTATTAATAAAGTCCACAATTTACACTAGGATTCGTTCTTGTACAAAATGTTGTACACGTTTTGATAAGCTCATAATGTCATTGTTTGGGAAGAAAGTTTTCCTCAACACTCTAAGGGTCTCTGGCTGGGTCTGAAAATTCAACTGACAAAGACAGATCAATAGGAGAAAAGCATACAAATTTTATTAAATATTTACATATACATGGGAGCATTCACGAGAGAATGAAAAATCCCAATAAGTGAAAAGAGCAGGAAGCTTTTATACCTTTTAGCCCAAGAAACAAGATATTTGTAAAGAATTGGCAAGACAAAGGTGTTTGGTCTATGGTTAGTAAATGGTGAAGAAGTAACTAGAAAGATAAGGGTTAGTTTCAAGATTCTTTTGTAGATTCCTCTGGTGCCCTCTCTAGGAGGTTGAGGGTCTATCTCCAGTAAAAAGAGAATTTATTTTCTGGCTTTGGACAAAAAGGGAGGAGGGAGCTTTTTCTGCACTTCATGATTCTTTTTTTTTTTTTTTTTTTTTTTTTTTTTGTGGTACGTGGGCCTCTCACTGTTGCGGCCTGTCCCGTTGCAAAGCACAAGCTCCGGACCTGCAGGCTCAGTGGCCGTGGCTCACCGGCCCAGCCGCTCCGCGGCATGTGGAATCTTCCCGGACCGGGGCACGAACCCGCGTCCCCTGCATCGGCAGGTGGACTCTCAACCACTGCGCCAGCAGGGAAGCCCTACACTTCATCATTCTTAATTGCCTTCTGTACAAAATAATTTTTATGTCAGAGAGCCATTTTTGGGGGTTACATATTCTGATTCCCTTCAGCATGAACGTGGAATATCTCCCCATTTATTTAGATCTTCTTTTGATTTATTTCATCAGAGTTTTATAGTTTTCCTCATATTGATCTTGTACATATTTTATTAGATTTATACCTAAGTATTTCATTTTTATTTGGTGCTAATACAAATGTTAGTTTGATTTTTTTTTTTAATTTCAAATTCCAGTTGTTCATTGCTGGTATATAAGAAAGCAATTTTCGTATATTAACCTTGTATCCTGCAACTTTGCTAAAAACAGAAATAATTTTTATCCTAAAGATTATTGGAGCCATTAAAAGTACTGGGCAAGAGTGTTTCACTGCTATATTTATGCTCAAGAAATACTAATCTGGAAGTGTTAATATGTAGAATGGATTGGAAGGAAAAGAGACTAGAGGCAGGGAGTCCATGTAGGAAACTTTTGTGTGAGTCCTCTATGAGACAATAAGGTTCTGAATAAGGATATTGCAGCACCAATGGAAAGGCAAGAACAGATTTAAGAGGCAAATACCCTAAATGTGCCCTTCTCCTTCATATGTATGTGTCTCTTCGCACAGTTTCCTCTTTGGGCTGCCCTTACCATTTTCTTCACCTAATTTCTAATTAATCTTCAAAACTCAGTGCCGGTGTTGTGCCCTCCAAAAATACCTCCTCTCTACTGTATCCACACAGTTACCTGTAGTTTCCTTGATCACAGCTGTAAGTGCTATTTATATTTGTTAATATATTGTGCATTGGTCCATTTATTTGACTGTCTCTTTCATTAGATCACAAGTTCCTGAATCAGAGTAGCCCAGTATCTGGCCCAATAAACATACACATAAAGGAATAATTCATTCAAGTCTATGGTTGAAGCTCACATACCAAGTACATGGCAGTTATTATATCAGATTTTCATGTATATTTTCTCCTAAGGAAATGAAACCATAAAACTTCAAAAAACTGAAGCTTCAAGTCAGGAAGGAAGCACCAACTCACATCAGGAAGTGATCAGTTCCTCAAAACTGTGTTTTGAGTCTCACTGTTTCTTTAAGTAAGCTTACTCTCCCTGCATCTACAGTGTTACTGACACTAATTAAACGGCAAGTTTGAAAGTCTAAGAGTCTCATCCACACTGTCAACAAGAAGTTCATCTTCCAAGCCCTAGTTTTCTCTTTCCTAGGGTTCAGAACCCTTCCCCTGCCACACGCAGGCAGCCTTGCACACCTGGGAGGAGTACAACAGACAAAAGCCTCTGAGCCTGGGACTAACTACTGCTGCTGTTCTCAGCGGGAGCCTGGTAAGAGCAGAAGCCCCCAGGGTTGGGGAGAGTGGTCAGTGAAGATGTCTGGGAGATCCAGGTCAAATAGATGGAGGGTAAATATTTCAGGAGGGAAGAGACAAGGTTTCTGACATGGGGACCATCAAACGCATGAGTGCAGGACAAAGAGAAGAACAAGATCTACCAGTCAGAGCAAAGATCGTCTTAACCTCAAATTCCTCCTCACTGGGCTTTAGTTTCTTTAGAATTGTGAGACTCAAGTGAGAAAGAAGATGGTTAAAAACAAACAAAAAAGAGCTATGAAATCTTAAAAGGCAGAAGTAAAAATCTAAATGGTTATGAGTGATCATTTTGCTCTTATTGTTTTTACTACTACATTATTTTCTCTCTCCTTACACAGAAAAGATGGGGCCACGTCTTCTGGGATGCTTTCCTCTCCTACTGCTGCTGGGACTATGGTGGTCAGTGTGTCCACTTTGTGCTTTGCCTAAGCATCTCACCAAGGCTCACTGGTTTGAAATTCAGCATATACAGCCAAGGCTTCTCCAGTGCAACAAGGCAATGAGCAGTGTCAATAATTATACTCGGCACTGTAAGCCTCAAAACACCTTTCTGCACAGCTCCTTCCAGGACGTGGCTGCTGTCTGTGATTTGCCCCACATCGTCTGTAAGAATGGGCAGCACAACTGCCACCAGAGTCCGAAGCCTGTTAACCTGACTCAGTGCAATTTCACTGCGGGGAAGTATCCTGACTGCCGCTACCGAGATGACACCCAATACAAGCTCTTCATTGTTGCCTGTGACCCCCCTCAGAAGAGCGACCCTCCTTATCATTTGGTTCCTGTACACTTAGACAAGATTGTTTAAAGTTTCCGTCATTTTCCCTCTCGCGCAAATTCTCTTACGATCTCTTCTGATTTTTCTTTTCTTTTGTTGATTTTCCTGTTTCCCATAGAAAGAAAAAGGAGGGTATTGGAAAAATTAGAGTGATGAGGATAGACCAGAGTTGGGACAAAAAAATATGTGGGATTCTTTTCTGCTTTGGAGCTCTAGGTTTTGAAGGAAGATAGTAGGGAAGAGGGCAAAGAAGGGTCCAGGCCTCCATATTTTCAGCCTTAGAACTTCAGCCAACTTTTGTTGTATTGTGTTCACAGAAATAAAACCATGTTCTGCTGCATTCTAATGAGTGTGTGTATAAATGTGTTTGGAAGCGTGATCCCTTTCACATCATTGCCAGCCTGGAGCTATCTAGGCCTGCATTTGCCAGCATTCCAAGGAGAACGATTTTGGCCCTAGGCAACCTTTGAAGTTATTTGGCAACTTCGGGCCTCTGCCACTACCTCACCCCTGTGTCTCTGGGACTTTGGAGCAAGAAAGTTCTCCATCCCTTCAAACTCTGCTCATGGCTTTACATATTTCCTTTGAAACCATTGTCTATGGTTGTTTGGAGGTGGCACTGATACTCAATGTTGATGGTATTTTCACACATTCTAACGCTGGTAACTGAGGCATCCTAGATCTTAACTCTTTGCCTCTATAATTAATCAGATAATGTTTTAAATAAAAATAGTAGTAGGGATAATAATCCACTGTAGCCTTAGAGTCAATTCTCCTGTTGTCTATTGGAATGGACAAAGAGAAAGCATAGATCAAGGGGGTTAAAAAAAAAGCACTGGGACACTAAAAACATTCTTGCCCTACTCAAATAGTGAAATATCATAGAAACATTGGGGCTTTGGAAGAGGTATGTGATTTAGAGATCGAAGGACTGGGATTAAGTGTCTAGGTTCTGGGCTTCCCTGGTGGCGCAGCGGTTGAGAGTCCGCCCGCCGATGCGGGGGATGCGGGTTCGTGACCCAGTCCGGCAGAATCTCACATGCCGCGAAGCGGCTGGGCCCATGAGCCATGGCCGCTGAGCCTGCGCGTCCAGAGCCTGTGCTCCGCAACGGGAGAGGCCACAACAGTGAGAGGCCCGCGTACCTCAAAAAAAAAAAAAAAAAGAATTTAGGTCCTATGTGTAGGGGAGGAAAAATAATTTTTCATAAACCCTTCTAGGTTTTTGGCTGAGACCCCCTGTAATAAAAAGATAGATCAACAGGAAAAAAACAATTTTAGTTACATATGTACATATGGGAGCGCTACAAAGATATGAGACTCAAAAGACACAGGAAGCCCTGAGGAGCTTCAGGGTCCATGTTTATAATGGCATCCTGGGGCCAAGCCTGGTGCCAGGAGGATTAGCCCTGGCTTAGAGATGCCAAAGTTCCCAGGGAAAATGAGCTAAGTAGACCATTCAATACATATCTCTTACCCACAGGGTGTGGAAATAGAATTTGAGGATCAGGTCAGAGGACACTGTACTTTTAAAAAAATTTATATTGACTAGAGGATGTGGAGCCAGTAAAATATTATGCCCCTCTTACTGCTTTACTTACTGCCTTAGATGGATACTTTAACTAGTTCCATTGGGGCAAAAAAGTATACAATCGAAAACTGTTTCATTGATAAATTCAATACTGTGAATATTCTTTAAGTCACCTTTTTAATAATTTATAACGGTTTGTGTTTTTCTTTTTTTCTTTTTCCTTTTTCTATCTTTGATTATTCTTCTCTTTCTTTTCCGTTTGTGTTTTTCTGTTTGGCTTTTTTGGGTTTTTTTGAAGATGCCATACTATCTAGACAGGGCTAATAGAAACAGAAAACGTGATGTCCACGTATGAGGCAAGCCTACAGAGGAAAACCCACATATGGGGTGGCAATAGCAAAGCCAAACAGCCTTACAGGAAGGGGGAAGCATACGCTCATGAGGAGGGGAACTCTTCTGGAGCTCTTCACACTTTTTTGTTGTTGTTGTTGTTGCAATGATTGGGGGCTACTCTTCATTGCAGTGTGCCGGCTTCTCATTTCAGTGGCTTCTCTTGTTGCGGAGAACGGGCTCTAGGTGAGTGGGCTTCAGTAGTTGTGGCTCACAGGCTATAGAGCCCAGGCTCAGTAGTTGTGGTGCACTGGCTTAGTTGCTCTGCAGTATGTGGGATCTTCCCGGACCAGGGCTCGAACCCATGTCCCTGCGTTGGCAGCCGGATTCTTAACCACTGCACCACGAGGGAAGTCACCCGTCACACTTGATGGATTTTATTTTATTTATTTACTTATTTTGACCGCACCACACAGCATGTGGGATCTTAGTTCCCTGATCAAACACTTACCCCCTGCATTGGAAACACAGAGTCTTAACCACTGGACTGCCAGGGCAGTGCCTTGATGGATTTTATAAAGTCCTTCCCTTGCCCTCTCTCATGGGCTAATTTCATTTTTAACGTGATGAATTACTTTTCAAAAATTAAACAGTGTAGAGACTTCCCTGGTGGCGCAGTGGCTAGGACTTTGCTCTCCCAATGCAGGCGGATCGGGTTCAATCCCTGGTCAGGGAACTAGATCCCATGTGCATGCTGCAACTAAGAGTTTGCATGCCACAACTAAGAAGCCAGCTTGCTGCAACTAAGGAGCCCTGGAGCTGCAACTAAGGAGCCCTGGAACCACAACTAAGGAGTCTGCCTACTACAACTAAGACCTGCTGCAACCAAATAAATGAATATTTTTTTAAAAAATTAAACAACGTAGATAAATACAAACCAATATATAGCACTCAAAATAAATAAATATTGTTTTTCATTTACTTACTGTCTAAAATATATATATACATAAAAACATTGGCGTCCATTTTATTCCTCTCTCCATTCCCATTCCTCTTAACTTTTCTCAAATGAAATTATAAATTTAAAGTGTTTCCAGTCCTATTTTTATACTTATATTTCATGTATAATATCTTCATAAACAAAACATAGGGTTTCCATGTGCAATTTTAAAAGAAATTTATATAAATACTATCATATAGTACAAATCATTCTGCAACTTGCTTTTTTTGTTCACTCAACAATGTTTTTAAGACTCATCGATATTAAAATGTATCTTTGTTGTTCTTTTATTTTTACTGGTGTATTGTTTGTTCCTTTGTATTAATAAACCATCATTTATTTACCAGTCATCTATTGTTGAATATTTGGGATGTTCCCAAATTTCCACCCTAACAAGCAGCATTGCAATGATATCTTTGTACGTTTCTCTGTACAGAGAAACTTGTCAACTTAAAGAAAGACACTCAGCATAAGAATTGCGAGTTTAAGTTGTATTCATGGTCTTACTGAAGACTAGAACTTTTTATGTTTGGGAAGGTGCAAGAATCAGGGGTCTTTGAAATTATTCCTGAGATACACGTCTAACTATCTAGGAACCTGTTTTTCCAAAGCACAGAGTATCTCATCCTGTTTTTCATCCTCAGTTCCCTGCAGGGTGCCCTGTCAGTGGTCGACTGCAGTGGGTTGTGACTTAATCCTTGTATAACTGGGTAATGAGTGATGTTCTTTGTTCTTCTTTGTTCACAAACTGATTGTAGCAGATTGTATTTTTCAGAGATGTCCATATCAACATATCCCATCCTACATGCTCTTCTTAGAGTGTGATATTGACTCTTCTCTGTCAGAAGGGTCTATGTTCCCTTTCCTTGAGTATGGGTTAGTCTTAGAAACTCCCTTCTAATGCATAGAATGGGGTGAAAGTCACACTGCATGACTTCCAAAGCCAGGTGATAAAAGGTGATACAGCTTCTGCCTGGCTTTCCCTCTCTGTTGTAGGACACCCACACTTGGACCCAATCATCATGCTGTGAGGAAGATGGTGCCACGTGGAGAGGCCTTGTATAGATATTCCAACCAACAGGCGCAGCTAAGGTATCAGCCAACATCAACCATTCAACATGTGAGTGAATGAGCCTTCAGATGATTCCAGCTCCCAAACTCTGAGTCTTCCAGCTACAGCCTCAGACATTAGAACAGAAACAAGCTGTCCCCACTGTGTCCTATCTGAACTCCTGACCCACTGGGAGCATAATAAATTATTGTTTTGTGCCACCAAGTTTGGGGGTAATTTGTTACACAGATAGAATAACTGAAGCATTGATTGTATTATATTGCCAGAAACTATGGTATGTGAGTTTTTGCATCTCAATGTCCTTTCTCTGGCAAAACATGAGAGTATCATGCTCCTGCATTTTTGGCAACCTGATGAGTATGAAATAGCACAACATTGTCATGTAGGCAAAAAAAAAGATGCTAATTGCATCTTTAGATCCTTGGTTCCTAGTACAATGCCTGACACTAGTGGGTTTCTTTTTATTTTATTTTATTTATTTATTTATGGCTGTGTTGGGTCTTCGTTCCTGCGCGCAGGCTTTCTCTTGTGGCGAGCGGGGGCTACCCTTCGCAGCAGTGGGTGGGTTTCTCATTGTGGTGGCTTCTTTTGTTGCAGAGCACGGCTTCTAGGCATGCGGGCTTCAGTAGTTGTGGCACGCGGGCTCAGTACTTGTGGCTTGTGAGCTTAGTTACTCTGCGGCATGTGGGATCTTACCAGACCAGGGCTTGAACACGGTTCCCCTGCATTGGCAGGCAGATTCTTAACCACTGCATCACCAGGGAAGTCCCAGACACTAGTGGGTTTCTTTTTATTTTTTTAAAAATCTTTTATTTATTATTTATTTATTTATTTATGGCTGCGTTGGGTCTTTGTTGCTGCATGTGAGCTTTCTCCAGTTGGGGCGAGCCCCTACTGCTCTTCGTTGCGGTGCATGGGCTTCTCATTGCAGTGGCTTCTCTTGTTGCAGAGCATGGGCTCTAGGGCACAATGGCTCAGTAGTTGTGGCTCTTGGGCTCTAGAGTGAGTCAGCTGATGAAAGTTGAATACAGTCTGTGGATTAGATAACTGTATAGTTTCAATGCAAATTTCCTGATTTTGATAAGTGTACTTATTTTAAA